AGGCGTGCACAGGCCGGCGGGCTCTGCGGCTGGAGGGCAGGTCCCAGAGGGACGCATACATAGAGATTCAAGATACAGAATAAGACGTCTGCCTGTGAGGCGCTGCGTAGGCCCGGGAAAACTCGAGGTAGAGGATACAAAGACCAACAGAAGGAGCATCTGCAGAGTCCCCCGCTCTTGCTGCCTCCCCTTTCCCCCAAGGACGGCCACTGGGCAGGTGCTAGTCCAGCCTGTTGCTAGTGACAAAAATGCCTGAGTCTGGGGAACCAGCAGTTAGCATAATGGCTATGTCGCTGGACTCCCACATAGTCGACCGCAGTTCGTGTCCTGGACCCGGTGGCTTAAAACTCACGCCGGGTGCGTGTGCGTGCGTGCCTAAGATCCTGAGAGGAGAATGGAGGAGAAGGATTGCGGCGTGACCATCCCCCCTGGGGGGTGATTTCTTGCTGTCTCTCTGTCTCTCTCTGTCTGTCTGGCGAGCGCACGCGCCCTATAGCAAAAAAATCTCTCCCCCCCAAAAAAAACCTCTCAAAAAAAAAAAACAAAAAACAAAAAAACCTGAGTCTGGGCAATTTATAAGAGTTTATTCTGCTCCCAGCTTGGAGGTCCAAGGGCCGGGAGCCGCCACACGGCAGAGGACGGGGACGCTGTGTCCTCTGCACCTGGGGCCTCTGTCTAGTCCCTGTCCTTGCAAACCCAGGTGTTGGTCTTGGTGCCTTGTCTCCATGACCTAAACCCTAATCTGCCCTCGGCCTCGCCTTTCGAACTGCGCTGGAGTAAGTCTCCCCCCTGAGCCCCATCACAGCCAAGTCTCAGCTCATGAGTTTTGGGGGCACATTAAGACCACAGCCTCACCTATGCTGAAGAACCCCAATGTCACACTCCATGGGCACGCATGTCCTTCTTCAGCCTTGACCCTGCCCGGCCGCCAGCGTCTCGATCAGTGTCCCTCGCGTGAAGCGCTCTGCCCGTGTTCTCTGGCCTCCGACCGGTTTTCTCTCATCTACTCCCCACCTTCCTCGAACGCCTGGTGTGATTCTGCACTGCATGCTGCTCGGCCCAATGGCCACCACCTCTAGGAAACCTCCCCAAGCTTTGGCACCGAGGGCAGCCCTCTCTGCATACGTGAGCACCTCACAGGCACCCGGGTCTTGGAGTGCTGGGGTGGTCTTCTCTACAGAGGGGTAGAGCCACGAGGGTAAGAGTCAGTAAAACTCATCCTCTTTTATCTAGGAAGGCTCTTGACCAGCTCTGACTGGTTAAGTGGAATCTCGAAACCTGGGACCAGAGGTGGCAGAGAGGTGGCACATGCCCCGCGAGGATGGCCTGCACGGGGAGGCCCCGGTCCCTGCTGCAGACAGGGCCTCCCTGTGCATAGCAGGTACACGTGTGTCCATCAACTGGGCTAGCTGAGGCTGCAGGTGGACCACGGTGTGAGGGTCTTCCATGGAAAGGACACACAAATAAACTGAGAGAATCCTCCCTCATTCAGTTCTATCCCTCTTTCCAAAACGTCCTTGGCTGGAATTTCTCAGCCAGAGATCTGCTTGCAGTGTTTGGAGGAGTGTTTCACTCCCACGTGACTTTCTTAAAACCTGTCCTTGGTGAAGGTGTGCAATCCTCCCATCCTGTCACCATCGCGGTGGGCCACCTGGTTCTCCTCTGCAGCAAACATGTTCAAAACCACATTTTATTGTCACTCTTTACCCAGACACTGGCTCTCAAGAGAATTGAATCTCAAAGGTACAAGAGCCCGTTCCAGAGGAGCACCTCTGTCCTGTCCTCTCAGGAGCTGGGAGGCCTGCCGGGTGACATGCTTTGGCTATGCTGGGATTTCCGTCACTGTCCAGCCAGGTGATGGCAGGAGTCCTCCCCGGGTCACCACCTGCAGGGTCGCAGTGGCTTGGGGTGCTTGCTGCATAGGTGGGAGACCTCCTGCAGGCTCCGGCTAGATGGAGTGAAGTTTAACTCAGCTCTGAGCCTGAATGGCCATCAGTGTGCTTGTTTTGCAAATGCACGAGCCCACGGTGCTGAAGTCACAGGCTGAAGTCACAGGTCAGAGCGTCTCGGCATTGGACGTCGTGTGGCTCTTCCCGTCTGCCTGCCGGACACACACCAGCTGCTGAGGGTGTTTTCCACCTCGCTAAACAAGACCCTGTCTCAGAGCTGGAGTCAGGAAGAGGGAAATATTAACCACCAGACTTTTATCCCAGCCACATGGTTGGAATGCTGAGCAGAGCCTTGGAGTGGCGTGTTCAAAGCAGGCAGAGGGGGCTGCACAGAAGGATGGGAGGTTCCCAAGGACCGGCGATGGTGAAGGCAGGCCTTGGGAACCTTTCGGTCCACGGGAAAGTGTATGGAGCTGAAACACCGCCGAGGGTTATGACTGAGCTGTGCTCACCTGGCAAAGGCTGGCCACCACCCAGGGCTCCGGCAGCTGAGGCCTAAGCAAGAGGACTGCAGTTCCGGGCTCAGAGGCTCTTCCTGGCCAGCAGAGCCCGCCACTGGGGCCTTTGCCCCGTCGTTCCATCTCACCGTGAACCCTTCAAAGACTTAAAGAATGCTACGCCTTTTACTTCTGCTTTATTTGTATTTTAATTTTGTGTATGAAACATCTGTCTTTTCATCCAGCGCTGAGCAATCCTCCCACACTGTGTCATTTGCCTTTTAATGTGTTTCCCAAACTCTCTCCAGGATTTGCTTTGGGCTTCCTGATAGTATTTGCAAAGGCGGGAATGGTTCGAATGCCCAAGGCTCCCCTAAGGGCCGGTCCTCCTGCAGCTTCAGGGTCGTGGTCAGCCGGAAGGTAGGCTTCTGCACCGTGCCTTCTCCTTCATTTCATTGTTATGGAATTATCTGCATGCGACGTTTTGAAGATCTCCTGTTCATGCTGTCCCTTTCACACTGCCGTCCTTTAACTTCTCTACATAATCACTTCAAACATTCTGTGATGGCTACACTTGTTTAAATATATCTATGTACAGATACAGGTACTTGCTGTCACGCTCATGAGTTCGCCAAAGAGAAACACACACACATATACACACACACATACACATCACCCACCACAGGGATGGCTGCACCACTGTCCCTTCTCCTCCGCTCTCCTCTCGGGATTTGGGACATGTATGCACACAAACCTGGCACGATTTTTAAGCTACTGGGTCTGGGACCCAAGCCACACAGCTGGCCACGTGGGGTCCAGCCGCCTTAACCTCCATGCCGCCGACTGACCTCACCTGTGTTTATATTCTCTTGACTTTTCTGTGACAGAAGTTGAGAGTTCACAGAAAATGGTATTAAAGCACAAGTTTGTGTTGATGCCAAAAAAATGTGAAGTGCATGTAGTTTCTTCATAAGCATTTTTCATGAACTTCTAAAAGCCTCCTTGTGAAGAGTGTTCATGGGTGGGCCCAGTTAGCACCCTAGGCCCCCCTCTCTCCCTCACGGTGCTCTTGTTCCCTGTTACTGGTTCTCTATGTGGTGTCCCTGGTCCACCCGGATCTTCCCCAGAACCACAAGCCTCCTGCTCACATGCGGCGGGACCTGGCCCTGCCATCATGACTTACGCACCCCCCTAAGGTCTCACCTCTGAAAACCATCACATCGGGGCTGAGTTTCAACCCTAGAATTTTGGGGGACAGATTCAGACAGAGCAACCACCTGTAGGCTTTTCCCTCCTCTAGAACCTCCCTTTCGCATCGGTGCCCACCTGCTCCTCTCACGAGCATCGCCATACATCGGTTCTCCCCTGGAGGGGCATCAGGAGGAGCGACGTCTGGTCTCCACCCCGGGAGCTACGGGGACACCCTCCTGTCCTTTGTGTCACTTTGACTCTTGAGCAGAGGCTGGTGCCGCTGCCGTCTGTGTGGCATTGAGTGGAAAAGGGGACCGATTGCATGGGGATGTGGCCTGCCCATCCTCACTTGCCGCATGGAAACGAAGTGACAGCGGCTAACAGACTGGTTTGTGACGCGTCAGGCGGGGGCAGGCATGAAGTGTGGTGGCTCACGGAGGACACCATGACCTGGAGGGGCACGGCAAAGACGGCAGCTCAGACAGGCACAGGGTGAGAGCGCCTCTTCTTCAGCGTGAAGTCGGCACGGAGTAAGGGGTGGCGTGTGGCCTTCCCCAGGAACTGAGGCTTAGGGGCTGGCGCAGGGGTGTGTGTGGAGGGAGAGCAGCTGCCCATCGGCAGAGCAGGGTGTCAGCCCTCCTGCCTGCTGCAAGGTCCGTGCTCTCAAATTCTCCCTTGTGCTAGGACCAGGGGACAGGGACAGGGCCAAAGGAAGGTTTGCTCGCTCTGAAGGCCACCGAATGCGCCACCGAGCAGGACAGACTATGGAGGGGCTCCTTGGGGCCTGGCTCCTGGCCTGGCAGCATCTAGCCCAGACACACGCACTCAGCCTCCCGGGTTTGGCCAGGACCCCATCCACCCGAGCACACTGGCCTCTGTTCCCGGCATGGCCCTACCGGCAAGTCTTCTAAATTAGCGCGGTAGGTCAACACCTTCGGGAGTCCACCGTCAGGCCACGCCCACGCTGCTGCCCCACCTGGAAAGTAAACCGCCTTCTGAGAGCTGCTGCATGCAGATGAGAGGCAGCCGGTCTGAGCTGACCTGACCCGCACACTCATAAAACCCACAGGGCTCAGCGAGCTCGCCCGGGACTCCCAAACTCCTAGACCAGAGGTGCGGGGCCTCGCCGACTCGAGGGTCCTGCTGCTCTCCTGGGGCTCGAGATATGTGCATTTGCCTCTCCCTCTGACAGCCCATGAGGTAAGGAGAGAAGCCCTCATTGTGCCTCTGCAGAAAAGAGGGGTGAATTCTTGTGGAAATTTAGACTCTTCCCCCACCTCTAGACAGACTCGTCTATCCACTCCTGAGGGATAAGCGTGATGTGAACTCACTCACACCTGATGCTCTGGGTGTGCTGTTGCCATGGGTTACGAGCAGGAGCCCTGAGTGCAGGGAAGCCTGTGGTTCGCATCAGGCTGGGCTCCGGAGCCCTCCCTTGGGCCGCAGGGCGTGTGCAGGACTCCTGTCTCTGGCGGCATCTCCCATGGCTGGGAGACCGGCTTGCCAGCAGCCCTCTCGGGCCTCTCCCGCCTTTCTGGGAGAGGATCACGAGGCGAGTGGGATCTGTTACGGAAAAGGCTTATCGGAAAAGGCACGTGTCAGAAAGACATTTCGTGACCTTAACCAAAATGCTCTGCTCCGGCCCCGACATACCGTGGGAGGACTCCCACCCACTCGGGGTGAACGCACGCGCGTGTCCGACTGCGCTGGGGCAGGTGCTCTGGGGCTGAGCGCCCACTGCTTCCTGGGGCGCGAGCGGACTGGGAGCTTCTCCACGCAGCTGTCCCCAACAGGTTCTGTGCATAGTTGCTCAAGAGAAGTTGGTCTTTGCAATTGGCCATCCTCGGGGACATGGTCTGTCAGGGCCGGAGCCGGAGCCAGAGCCGGAGCCGGAGCCGGAGCGAACGCCGCGGAGGCTGAGACAGACCAGGACCGAGGTCTCCCTGCTCTGGGGAGCTGCCCAGTCCTGAGACCCTCACCGCGCTGCTGGTGTGGTCTCACCGAGGTGACTTCTGCTTTTAAAAGCGCACTGGGGTAGAGGCACCTGGGACAGCACGGGCTGTCAGAGAAGGCTTTCGGCTTTCTGGGTTCATTTTTGACACTCGCTCATGAGGATGGCTTTTCTTCTGGGCGAGAAGGCCACCAGCCAGCTGAGGGGGGCTGGCCTTGCCAGGAAGCAGGTTCCTGAAGCTTTGCTGCTGTGCATGGCTTAGAGTTTGTGCTATTTTAAAATTTTCCTTTAAACGTGAGGATCTTGCAGTCCCTCCAAGCATCTTTGCTCTGGCGAGCTGAGACTCAGAACACCCATGCGTGACCCTCCCCTTTCTCAGCCGTGCATGTTCCTGTGTTAGGTCCCAAATCTATCCTGGACCTTCCCACACTCCAGGGTTGTCCAAGAGTCCAGCTCTGACCCAGGGCTCTGCCTTCTATTTGCCCCGGGCTTCCAGGATGGAAGACTGCCCCCGTCCTTGTGGTGGTGCTCGCTGGAGTTGCTGGTGGCCTCAGTCGCTTGCTCCTGACTCCGACCCCTGGCACCGCCCTCGGCTGCGCGACAGGCTGTTTCTGCCCGTCCTCCTCCTTAGGGCTGTCTCCGTGCACACAGGTGTTCGTGTCCTCACCGTCCAGCTTCTTACCCTGCACCCGGCGGGCGCAGGGGCTGCCTGCCCCGGGACTGCTGTGGCTGGGGGTGCCCGTGGGTGCCAGCTGTGCTTTGCTCCTTCAGCCGGGGGTCCGACATGGAAATGGGCTGGGGTGCTCTGGGGAAGCAAGGCCGCGGGAGCAGGAGCTGCGACCCTCGCTGTCAGGACAGGCTCGCTGCGTGTGTGTGGGGCTCACATGCTGTGACAGAGGACCTCATGGAGATGCAGCCCTCACCTGGGTGGGTCAGGTCAGGGGCCTAGGGGCAGGGGAGCACTCCAGAGCCAGAAAGTGGCATTTGCAAAACGTGCCTGAGTGTGAGCATGGCATGGACCGTGGACCCCGGCTGGCTGGGGAGGACTGAAGGGAGGGGATTCGGGAGAACCTGCAGAGTGGATGGGGCTCGATGCACCTGGAAGTGAGGGGGCGAGACCCCGGGAAGAGCAGACCATGCTCACATTTTAGAAAGGCTGCCTGTTGTCAGGGCCAGGTAGATGGGAGTGGGACCCCTCGCTGCAGGGGCTGGGGGCTGGAGTGGCTGCAAAGCAGGCGGGGAGGTGCCGGAGTTCGGACTCTCTCGCAGGAAAGCCCGCGGGACGAACACAGCCTAAGCTGAAAGAGCGTTCCTTCCATATGCCCTCACACGGCCGCCCCGCCCTCTGGCCTCCAAGAGCAGAGTTCACAGACCCCACTAGCTCGGGAGTCAGGGCTGTGCACAGCACGGGCCACCTTTTCAGGTGCCGCCTCAGGAGGAAGCCTCAGGTCACCAGCTCTCAGGCCATGAAGTGTGTGCCTGCCTGGGGAGGGGAGTGGTCTTGGTGGGTGTGGTGGGACAGCCTGCTGTCATCCCAGGGTCCCTCCTAGAGGGGCACAGCCTTGGAGCTGTCTCTGCTGTTCTTGAGCTCCCGCTGAACCCCACTGCCTGACGGGGGCAGGGTAGAAGTGGTGCCCCTTACTGTGGGCGCTAGGTTGAGGCGACATCTAGAACGACAGAGGACAGTGCCCTGGAACTGCAGGACCTCACAGACCTCCAGCTGTCCCTGGACCTGCAGTACTGGCTCAAATGTGTCCCTGCTGAAACTGTCCCGGGGGCTCTGTCTTTCCCGTTATGCCTGGAGTAGAGTTCTTTCAGTGCTGACAGCGAGGGCTCCAGGGGCTCCAGTCTGTCTTCCGGGTTCTATGGCCTGTGGCGTAGAGCCCAGCGATGCTGGCCAGCGTGCTGCGGGGGCAGTGGGAAGCCGCTGCCTCAGGCCATCCCCCAGGACCACCTGACCTGGGGGATAGGGGGTCAGAGTATGCGGCTTCAGTGCACACGGTTGGAGGAGCTCTGGGCGTGGCGCCCAGGCAGTAAGTGGCAGTGGTGGGATTCGACCCAGGCTCTCTGACTCCAGTGCTGTGGATGCGTCCCTCCTGCCCTTGTCTGCAGGCAGGTCCCGGGCCTTGCGGGCACAAAGCTCAGAACATCTGGGACAACCAGGACTCCTGAGTTCAATTCCTGCCTGCTCCCTGATTGCCTCTGTAGGGCGACCCCAGGACTTCTCCCCCTAGAGCTGGGGTGTGTAATTTGGGTGTCTTGCCAGGGACCCAGAGCAAATATACCTTCATTCTTGAAAGGCCCAAGAAGAACATGCCCGAACGCACAGGGTCGGGGGCTCAAGGCACCCCTGAAGAGCCCTGCAGCACAGAACTCGGAGGTTTGCCCAGGGCTACCCAAGGCAGCTGGGCGTGGAAGTCAGTTTCAAAGGCTTCAGCTACGTCTCGTCTCTTTGCCCACCCGCTGGGCATTTTCGGAGCTGCAGGTGGTGGTCAGGTGGGTGAGACTGGTTGAGAGACGACGTCTACTTCATTCCAAGGCCAAAATCTGTCTTTTTAAATAAGCTCAGCCCCATTTACATACTGGGAAAAATATGGACAGACATAGACTGACCCCGAAGTAAGGAGGGAAGAAGCCGGAAGAATGGAGAGCGGGCCTCCTGGGCTCTGTCTCCTGGAACACACAATTGGTGATGGCATTAGCACCATCCGGGACAGGAAGGAGGGGCCGACTTCACCCTGAGTCATGAGGCTCAGAAATCCTCAGGGACAGCAGGAGGTGTGGAAATGGGGAAAACAAAACAGAACAAAATAAACGAAAATATTCAAAATAAAAAAACAAACGTGAATGAAAAGTTAGTTTGGAGACAAGCACTGGGTACGGGCAGTGGGACCCCAAAGTCGTCAGGAAATGTAGAGTGAACTCGCGGCCAGCCAGCTCGCAGGAGCCACCTTCCGTTCCAGGTGGGTGTCCTGGGCCGTCCCCACTGGGGTCATTGCGAAGGATGTGCAGAGACCGTGGGCCACCCTCGCCTTGGCCGTGCCAGAATCTCAGACACACAGGAAAGGGGGCAGGGCCCTCACCGAGAGACTCCAGGTTGCTTTGAAAGAAATGGCGAGAAGCTGCTGAGAACTGAGCAGCGGAGTGGCCCGTCAAAGCTATCGAGAACCCAGAGGTGCTCTGCCTGAGTGGCCGCTTCTCAAAAACTGCGAAGTTGTCAGATACAACGCAGTATCACCCCATTAAAAACAAAACAAAAAAAACCCAAAACAAAACCAGAGCATTGAAACACGATTTTAAGTGATCTTCAGCTCCCACGCACCCAGTGTGGGGATGAAGGCACTGAGCCTGGAGGAGGCAGTGCCGTACATATAGCCCCTGGGAAACTGTGAATCTGAATCCTCTCACCTCCCTTTGGATCAATAATCTTCTTACTCACAGAAGGCTTCATCATTTTCCTAAATGCCTCCCCGGTCTGCAACAGCGTCTGTCTCAACGTGAACTTGTGTGGCCCCTGCATCTGTCTGCCCCGTATAACTGTCTGCCTCATGCACCTGTGTGCCCCATGCACCCTTGCTATCTGCCCCGTGCACCTGTCTGCCATGTGCCCCATGCTATCTGCCCCATGAACCTGTCTGCCCCATGTGGCTGTGTGCCTGTCTGCCCCTTGTACCTGTCTGCACCATGCAGCTATGTGCTCCATGCACCTGTGTGCCCCATGTACCTATGCTGTCTGCCCCGTGCACCTGTGTGCCCCGTGCACCTGTGCTGTCTGCCCCGTGCTCCTGTGTGCCCCGTGCACCTGTGTGCCCCGTGCACCTGTGCTGTCTGCCCCGTGCTCCTGTGTGCCCCCATGGACCTGTCTGCCATGTGCCCACCGCACCTGTGTGCCCCGTGCACCTGTGCTGTCTGCCCCGTGCACCTGTGTGCCCCATGCACCTGTCTGCCATGTGGTGCTGTCTGCCCCGTGCACCTGTGTGCCCCGTGCACCTATGCTGTCTGCTCCGTGCACCTGTGTGCCCCCATGCACCTGTCTGCCTTGTGCACCAGTGTGGCCCATGCTGCATGCTGAGCCGCCACTCTCCCCAGACTGTGCCTGGTCTGCTGCCTTAACCTACGTACACTCTGGGAGAAGATGCTTCTTGAGAACTCTAAGTACAAGCCAGAACTTTCCATTTATTTAGAACTTCCCAAAGTGCAGGTCCCTGCCTCTTCACCAGTGTTTCTTGGCTTGGACCCAAGAATGCAT